GGTGTGTGTGTGTGTGTGTGTGTGTGTGTGTGTGTGTGTGTGTGTGTGTGTGTGTGTGTGTGTGTGTGTGTGTGTGTGTGTGTGTGTGTGTGTGTGTGTGTGTGTGTGTGTGTGTGTGTGTGTGTGTGTGTGTGTGTGTGTGTCCTGGGGCCCCTTCAACCTCCCCAGGGCCGCGGGGAAGAGGGCCCTCCTCGCCAAGCAGCTCGAAACTGCCCCGACGACTCCGAATTCTCTCCTGCTCCTCTTCCAGCGCCACCGCCTCGCAGGGCCGCTCTGGGGGGGCCACTCCCGCCCTGGGTAAAAAGGCCCTCGGCAGCCTGGCCCGGTTCTCGCGGCCCTTGGGCCCGCTGCAGGGGTCGTTCGGCCGTCCGCGCCAGGGCGTCCAACGCCGCAAAAGAAAATGCGCTGGCACACAAGCTCTGCCATTTTTTGGTCACCCCTGAGCCGCCCCGAAGGCACTTTCAGAGTTCCTTCGGCGCGCGCGACCGTGCGCAGCGCCTTTCGGTGCGTCCTCTGCGCGGCGCCCGCGTTGAACGCGCAGTTTTTGCGGCGCCGACACCCTGCCCGGAGGCATCTGAAATCAACTGTCGCAAATCGGACACATTCGTGGCAGAAGTCTAAGGAGCAGGCCCCCCCCCATCCCATCCAATGGGACTCGGGGACGGCCGCGGCTACCCCCAGCTGCAACCCCTCCTGCGCTCTCACTCTAGGGGCCCGCGCCTCCACCAGTGTCGGCGCTGGGGGAGGCACACACTGGGCAGCACAGAACTCGAGGAGTGAAGAGGAGCGGGTGAGCTGGAGGCACACTCCACACTGCCACTTCCGGACTGACCGCTCAACGTGTGCGCAGATCGGGCGATGGCTTCCCGCCTCGCCGTCGGTCGTGGGGTCTTGGTTCCTCGCTGGACTCTCTCGGCTCGCTCGGGCATCGGCTCCGAGACCAAGGCGTGCACGGCGCCTCACCAGGGCCGAAGTCGCATCCCAGAGGTCGCCGTGCGCCGCCTCGTGCACTGCCCCCCTCTCCCACGCCAACTCCACTCCGATGCCCGCCCCCACGTCCGCAGCAGCGCCGCCTGCAGCAAGGACGCGGCCCCGCATGCGAGGGGGTCCGCTCGAGCTCGACCTCGCCTTCCCCCCCCCCGCTCTGCAGGGCCTGCCGAGCTCGGTGCCGCACGTCCTCGTTGGGACCGCTCGTGATTTTGTG